TCTACATGAGAATATTCCATAGACTATAGACATTCTTGTCTAGGGCTTTGGAGTGCACCTATGGTGACCTAGAAAGTTGTCTTTCTCTGATATTTTTGCTTTAAATCAAAATTCGAACTCTTACCTATCATATTTATTTCTATTTCTTGTTCACTAGATTGTTTTTTTTATAACTCCAATTTTGCACCTATATATATCGTAGAATTTTGCATACAATTTTTGCTCGCGGCATTACTCTCATGTATCATGATTTATTAAAATATCTTGTGATTTTCGTTTCGCTATTTTGCATTTTACATATGCTCACTTCGTGTCTCATTTATTACTCATGAAACTTTTAATATTTTGCTTACTTTTGTATTTTTTGAGAATTCTTTATAAAATCATGATCAGATAGCTTTGATATTTCCTTTCACTTTATGATTTTAATACTATTAGATTTACAGTTGCACTTGTGTTGCACTTAGTTTTTTTGGAAATTTATTTTGCTCTTTTCTATATTGAACTTCAGAAATTTTTTTTTGGTCTGGTTCCTATGTTGTCACATGACCCGAAAATTTTGATTGAACTTACTCTTGAATTTTAGTTCATTGATTGAACTTAAGCTATATTTTGACTTTGAAAATCTTACTTCAATATTTCATGAATGTCTCTTATATACTTTAATTCTCTGAAAATATTTTGAATTATTTTGTAGTCTTACAGACTGCTGGCGCCCGACAATTTTTTTTGTGGAATCAGAACTTCACTTAGTCAACATCTTTTTTGATTAAAATACCTTCTTGATCAAGTTTTCATTGGTTTAGTACTTGTAAATTGTTTTGTTATATGACTTGAATTCCTAATGGAATTTGTTAATTTCTTTTGATTTTCATGTTTTGAAAAAAAGTAATGCACTGTTTTTTTATATTGGATATTAGTTTAAAATATCACTGTAGATGATACTCTTTTTGGGTTTGGAGTATTGCGAGATAATCTGGCAATTGTTTTGAGAAATTATTATTTTTTTAATACCTCTTATGGTTTAGGTACTTACTTAGTTTTGAAGTTTTTAGTAGTCAGTCGATTTTGGATGCCATTGTGATTCGTGCTTGGACTACTGCTGAAACTTTTGGTTTATTATTTTTCTCGTCCTAGGTATGACGATGTTTTATGTTTTGGGTTGTTTATCATATGATGATAGTTTTTTTAAGTGCAGCTTCACTGTACTTTTCAGCCAGTTGGTGCTATAACCATCCCTCTTGTTTGGTAGACTTGAGGCTATCCCTTTTTCTTCCAATTCTCTTCTAACATTTTTGTTTCTACCTTACTTTTGCTACTTGTTATCTGGTCGAATGGTTGTACATTTGTCCTTCCGTGATAACTTTCAATTTCCTAGTAAAAAAAATTCTTGAATGCTTCTTCGAATTTTTTTTTTTGTTAAGTTGGGGCGAGTGTAACGGTTTCACCGTCCGATCGTATTTATTAAATCACTTCTCGATTATTATTTCAGAATCGCAAATCATTAATCCCATCTCTAGCTTTTTTGCTTGGAAAATTTTCCGCTTGGAGCGCTTGATGCGGAGTTCCTGATCTGCGATCTTCCTCGCGCTTCCTTTTCACTTGAGCCGCCGATCGAACAACAGCTAAAAATTTTCTTCTCTGTAGCACAAGCTCATATAGCACCATGTGCTAGAATTTTGTAGAATGTGTGTCCGTATAGGACAAAATGATTGGGGCCACCCCCTTTCTCTTTCCCTTTCCCTTTGCCTTAGTCTTTGACTTTGCCTTGCTTGGCCAATATTTTCACCCATGCATGTGCCTTGGCAGCGCCATCTTCTTTAACTTCGCCTACAACTGGTTATGAAGCCACTATATGTGAGGTCACCCCTCATAACTGGGACCTCCCCTTCAAGCACCTGGCCATCCTGGCTTCAGTTGAGTCAAAATGGACCAGCGAAAGATAAGTTGATAGTTTTATAGCAGCGCCAAAGATGTAAAACTTATTTTGTTCTTTAAAACTGTAAAATTGTAATGTAATGAAAATGCTTTTTTTTGTTAAATAAAATCTGTTAAATTTTTGTGTTCTGTTTGTTCTTCTATCCTCTAGCCATGCCATGGTCGACACACAGTTACACGCCTGTGGATGTCTTCATGCCACCGACTGAGCTACCGGAAGCTAATGCTAACCCCCTTTCTGTGATTTTGCAGAAAGTTGGAATCTTCATTGCATTCCATCTTTTCTGGACTTTTTGCGGAAAGGAAGCGTTACACGTTGAACATTTTCTATTCAACACTTGCTTTTCCGACGAATGTTCCTTTTTCTTAAATGGCATAGTAAATCGTCATAACTGCCGATATTGGTCCGGTTCTAATCCCAAAACTTATCATGAGGTTCATACACAGCAGCCACAAAAGCTAATGTTTGGGCTGGTATTTTTGGCGATCATTTAGTTGGTCCTTTTTTCTTACCTGGAAATTTGACCGGTGAAATGTATTTGGAATTACTGGAAGACGCCATAGATCCTGCATTAACAGCCATAATTGAAAATCAGAACGATCGGCGGTACATTGCGAATAGGTTGATGTTCCAACAGGATGGTGCCCCACCACATTACGCATTACGTGTTCGACAATATTTAGATCAGACGTTTACAGATCGATGGATTGGTAGAAGAGGTGCCATTGAATGGCCCCCAAGATCCCCAGATTTATCACCTTTGGATTACTTTATGTAGGGTTATTTAAAAAGCAAAATCTATGCTACTCAGCCAACATCATTAGAAGACGTGCGATAAAGAATTGTGAATGAGTGCCTTCAAATTACCCCTCAAATATTGCAAAATGTGCGGCAACGTTTTGAGCAAAATCTTTATTATTGCATGGAGAGTCATGGTGGCCATTTTCAACATTTACTTGCCTAACCGGTCAGTTCATTCTTCATTTTTAAATTACTTTGCTGCCAAACGTATTGATCTCCACTAATCATGAAGTATTAGTTTTATTTAAGCTTTAAATCAATAAATCTTCAAAACTACTGAACTGAAGTACATTAATTTTATATCATTATAAAGGGAATTGAAAGACCTTTAAAATAAGGTATCACCCGACCCCCCTTTCCATTTAAGATTTTAGGGGTTGTGTCACCCCCGCTTAGGGGCTGCACGTCACTTTTTGCCAAACTTGTGTCCCCCTCGAAAACAAAATCGACGGGTCTGAGCGTTTTTCAAAAAAAACTGAGCTCCCAGTAAATGCGTCTGTTTCGTTTTCGATGCGCCACCCGGTATGTAAAAAAATTAAAAAATACATGACTATATTAAATAAAACTTAAAATAACATTTTGATGCACAGTCTTGCAGTGAGGTTAGACCACCGGTTAGACAAATTAATTAGATAAACATTCTTTAATTTTTATTAGACTTTAACGGAAAATTTGTATCATGAAAATTAATAAACCAGTTTAAACGTACTTTTTCGCGCTTAATGCAATGTTTTGCTTCTACAAGATTGATATTTGGAATAGTCTTTTAGGTTTATTGATAATAATAATAATAATGGTAAAAGCCCGAAAAACTGTTATGAACTGACGTTGTTTTAGCGAGAAATACGGTAACTGGTATATACGTACATGTATAGCTTAAGCAAACGAATCACATTTATCATACTTTTCATCGTTTATTGCTGAGAGTTACACTTAAATCTTGACTTGGGAAAGTTTTACATCCTAACCATGAATCGACCACCGTGAAAAAAATACATAGACGTATTCATCCAACTTAATAATCAGCAATCGGTTGTAGAATTCGTGTGCTTTTGTAACTACCAGGTATCAGAATGTATTTTTTCAAAAGAAAATTGACGTTGCAAGATAGCTGTGTTGTGCGTGTAATTCCATCTTTATGTTATTCATAAAATGTAGTTTTTGCACTGACTGATTGGATCGTTTGTGATCAAAATTTGGAGTAAAAATATTACTGTAACGCTGGATTTCCTTAATGTGTTGGGAGATCCCAATGCCATCTAAATTCCTCCAGTCATGCTGTTTTTGGCTCAGAAGAGCTACTAAGGTTTGTGGAAGATAATGTAAAAACAGTCTTCTTCCTACATCACTGCAGTGCTATTGCAGTTCTTTGTAGTTTTAGCAATATGGGGACCTGCATTACCTTGATGCTTACCTGAAAACTTCACATTACCTCGTTCTGTCCACTACACCTTCTAACTCGTATATGTACATTGTGTGTTTATGAACAGATGGAAAGATAAATAGTCTCTTCGCCTCATCGGTACTTTACAAATGATATCAGTCAGCTCTTCTGCAACACGTAGTAGTTGGGAATAACTTACTTAAAGTTCACTTGGGAATTTAATCACGACTTCTTGCTTATATCTAACTGTCTACATATTTCCGATCATATGACATCATTTTACCGGGTGTTCTATATTTTTTGGCACAGAATATATGATAGATATTTCGTGGTATATGGGATGAGAGGCTTTCAGACCAAGAAAAGACGACATTTTGGCATACACTTTCTCAAAATGGACCCCTTCCAAAATGTGATCCAGAATGAGTTGTTCCGCCCCAATCTAGTTCAGCTATTTGAGAAACTTCAACGTTTCAATTAGAAGTCCCGAAATGAGCCGTGTCTGTTCTCACCAAACGTAAATATTTTATCGCAAAAGGTATGAGCTTTTGCTTTATATAATTAAGGGTCACTTATCAATAAAATTTAAATAGTAGTGGAAAAGCTACAGTGAAAACAAAAATTTTAGACCGCAACAATATGCCATTTTTATTTCTCAAGGATCCATTGACAGAATCCCAAAACATTTTAGTCAAAGCTTTTGTCAGAAAAATTGCCAAGTTGTGTTTTTTTTATGTCGAAATCCAAACAGGTTTCAATAGAAAATGTTATTTTCAAAATGTAAAACGAACTGTTTTAGTGATGTTTGAAATTCATCATTATTTTTGGGCAAAGTAAGAGAGGCTTAAGAACTTCTCGTAGCAGAAAAATGCAGAATGATAGATAATCCACTTTATTTAAAAATAAACACCAGTTACAAACAATACAAATTCAAAAAGGAACATAATTATTCAGAAAACACCAAATTAGAAAAACCTGCTTACCCTGTATATATTGAAATTTCAAACCCCAGGTTGCTAAAAATGGTATTTTCCAACTATATAATACGAATAAAAATATACCCCAAAAATCAAAAAAAAACAATACTATATTGTAATACTAATGGTATGTGGTATGTCACAGACAAGTGCCTCACCCTTGCTTACAAAAACTTAACAATACATAAAAAGGCAAAGAGCGCTCTATCCGGATGTTTCTTACTGAACGAAATGGACTGATTGTGATCGTCACAAAATTTTCGACTTATTTGATATTAACGTTGTAACCGAACCCGTATCTTATGTATGCCTTAATCTACTCGAACATGTCCTCAGAATGTAAAAGTAAAAACGAATTATCTTGATCGAATGAATTCTTAAGTCCTCTATTTTGCTCAAATAAAGTTTAATATAAATGTAACCTATTCACAACCAGCTTGATGCAATAATAAGTACACTGTGTGACGTCACTAAGTCCCTATTTTTGATTTAACCAAAGATTTAAACAATGCTTGTCATGGATATTTGAGATAAAAGTATGGAACAGTAGAGTTGAATCATTCTACTTAAACTAGTAGGTAATCCTTAGGCAAGAAACAATAGTCTTTCTAATAACCTCTGAATCACTACTTGTGATATTAAATAGTTTATATTGTGACTGATAAATACAAAAAATGTCTTTCAGTCTAAAAGCAAGAGTTTTCTCCCTATATAATCGTGAAATTCTTTATCGTGCAATGCTTATCGAATATATCACATCCGTATAAATGTCAAACTGGCCATGTAAAGAATTGAGTGTAAAACTATTGGGATAGTCGGCAAGCTATACCTACATCAAAACTAAAGTATACAGACTACGCACAGTAGAGTCACTTTCTGGTTTTTAGTAACAAAAAATTGTTTGAGTTTTCACCTGGAGCGAAAACTTTGCTGAAACCGTTCGACGACAAGAAGTGATCTGATTTTTAGGAAGGTTCAAGCAGTCTGAGCATGAAAAGTTATTTTACTCCTCATAGTCTCTATACTATGGTTAAAATCTAACAAATGGATGTTCCTTATTCATGTAGTCAACATAGTGTCGCTTTAATACCTAAGTACACATTTTTAAGTACCACAAATGTTTCATTAACAATGATGTCCTTTAATTATTAGGACCATTCTAAATAGCAGGCACCTGATTATAATGTAATAATACTATATATGTATACATATAGGAGCTACTACTTAATCATTTATGTTTGATAAAAAAGCTTAAAAACTGGAGAATAAAGAGAATCTGGAATGTGGAAAGTTAATAATCCTCTATGCTTATTATGTACAAAACTGCACTGTGATAGTTCCAATAACAAAATTCCCTGTTTCAATAGACACCACATAGTGAGAGCCACCTATCAAAGAATTTTGCAACGGCCTTTTTGCTGATATTTGCTGCAGCCTCCTAGGATACCACATGGAGTGTACTTTTAGAACAAAATGTCACAGAGGAAATATGAACGAATCAACTTTTTAAAGTTTTAGTCGTAATCATAAACGTTAGTTTAAAACTTTAACTCATTTATACAAATTGTCAATCTAGTACTTGAAGTTCATAACTTTTAACCCTTATGATTATGCTTATGATTGAAGTCACAGCCTACTTCTTCACAACTAATTGACAACATACCTAACCTACAATTTGACAACACATGAATAAAAGAAACTGTCACATACTGCACTTTACAGGGTGTAACAATAATATTATCTTATTTATTGTTCAACTGCTAAATACATTGTTAAACACAACTAAGCGTGCTGAGTTTTTTTTTGTATGTTTTTCTATATTAAGTAAAACAAAAACGAAAGGTTAGACCCCTTAAATTCATACATCTGCTCCTTACGACATTTGTATAAACATATCACGAACTTATAATTGTGAGAATGCTTATGTGTATCCTTATGATTATGGGTATTGAAAGATTGTATAAACCCATCATGAAGTCCTGCAAAGGTGCAAATATGTCGCTCGGGTCATTTGTTATATCAAAAAGGAATTGTTTGTCAGATATTCAAATTGTTGGTAACATCAAATTGACTAAATGTCGGTCATTTTCATTAGTATCCATTTCTTTTTATATTGCACGTATCAAGCGCAAATATTTCTGTCGGACAACTGGTAGTTCGCGACATTATCGTGCACCCAGCGAATGAAGATAGAATTTCGCTGTTTGCCGATAAAACACCGAGCATATGAACAGGTGACCATTGATTCCAATATCCCAGAGGTATATGATGCCCAAATACTCATAGATAGTGCAAGCCACTGATAGCTAGTACAAAGTACTTTTTTTGCAAAAAGTACAATATGACTTAAGAAATAACAGTTTGACATGAAGAATCGCCTGACAGTTACAGTTGTGTAATAAGGCTGTGGTTTGTAGGTCACCTAATAACCCTATAGTGATAATAGAGAGCATTATATATAGGTAATAGAAGAGATTGGATCTAAGGCTTTCTAAAATCATATTACCCCATAGCTTTAGATAGATAATTCAGTAGTAGCTCCTATATAGTATCTCTACTCCTACTATAGACCATTCATCTTTCCTGCCCTTCCTTATCCCCTTCCCCGTTCCTCTGTTTCTCCATCTGATCCTTCAAATGCAACGCTAGCTTATATCCCAACTCTTGCCTTCTGTCATTGCCTTCCACCATATCTTTCACTCTGTCAGAATTGACCACCACTCCATGGTTCTTGATCACAGTTTCCTTGGTCTTTTCGATATTGAGGAGGTCTACTCCTCGACAGCAGTCGTCTAGGAGGATGGTGCGGAACCCGCTGGAGATTGCGTCTATCGCTGTTGCACCTGCATTATAGAGAACCTAATAGAGTCAAGTACTAAATTGAAAGAGAGTAATGTAACTCATCATACGCCACTGCTAACGCAGTATGTATTTTTCATTTCTCTCCCTAGATTAATAAAATGATTGCAAAAAACCTAGGTAAGTAATAGTGCCATTTGAAATTATACGCTGTCGATTTTATTGTGTCGGTTTGATAACTGGATTTTGTCTTTTGAAATATTTCAAAACGATTGAGAAATATGTACTGTTTACTATAGCTCCTAATGTAATTCTCCTTGATTTTTTTTTATACCGAAACGCTAGTCGACATAATGCTTTAAAACGGTTTTTAATGTTAACAAAAAGAAGATATTTGTGCTTTACACACACAAGTATTTGTAAAATAAGTTGGAGACATCACATATGTATAGTGTTAGTAGTGAAAAAATTCTATTAATACCTCTTTTGAGAAAGCCATTATTGGTCTCGCAAATTACAACTTACAACCCTCGGTACTACGCGACTCAAGTTATAAAAGTGTTTGCCTAATAATGGTTTACTTCTCAAACATGGTATGTAATGTAATGTTTGTCGATTTACTCTATCTTGGATTTGGGTACGGTTTAGATCAGAAGCGTACGATAGATACGTCACTGTACCCTTCCCCATTCTGATACTTGACTACGGTATTAGAAACGTTCATCAAACTAAGTTGCACCGTTTTTCAGAAAGTCTGCATTTCAACTTTCTTATGAATGCATCACTAGAGATCTTCTGAAAATAGTTCGATTTACGTTTGGTTAGAACCAGGCAACATTACGATTTCAGATATTATTTGGGAACCTCTCTACCTCTCAGCTACACACGTTTGTGGATTAGGCTGATCCAAATATATTGGAGGTATTCACGTCGCCCCTCTTTCTACTAATGGGTGATTTTTTGCTAGTATCTTTTTGGCAACACTGTTTTTGACAGATGACGCGTGAATCGTGTCTTGTGTCATTGTCAAACTTGTTCAGATTGGTGTATAATTTAACCATGAATCGACTTACGAACGAACAACGCTTGCAAATTATTGAATTTTACTATCAAAATTCATGCTCGGTTAAGAGAGTGCATCGAGCACTGCTTCCAATTTATGGGCAATTTGGTCGGCCTACTGAGGGAGCTATTCGGAAGCTTGTGACTAAATTTCTAACCCAGTTTACATTATTGGACATTAAACCACCAACACGCAGACGTAGAGTGAGGACTGGAGAAAATATTGCGGCTGTATCCGTCAGTGTTAGTGATAACCGTGAAATGTCGATTCGCCGCCGTTCGCAGCAATTGGGCCTCTGTTACTCCACTACGTGGAAAATTTTGCGACAGCATTTGGGTGTAAAACCTTATAAGATACAGCTGGTGCTAGAATTGAAGCCATATGACCTCCCACGACGTTTCCAATTTGGTGAATGAGAGCTGGCAAAGTTAGAGGAAGATCCACATTTTTATCGAAAAATTGTGTTCAGCGACGAAGCTCATTTCTGGTTGAATGGGTACGTTAACAAGCAAAATTGCCGCATCTGGAGTGAAGACCAGCCAGAAGCATTGCAAGAGCTACCGATGCATCCCGAAAAAATCACTGTTTGGTATGGATTATGGGCCGGTGGCATCATCGGGCCGTACTTCTTCAAAGACGACAATGGCCGGAACGTAACTGTGAATGGCGAGCGCTACCGTGCGATGATAACAAACTTTTTTTTGCCCAAAATGGAAGAGCTGGACTTGGCTGAAATGTGGTTTCAACAAGACGATGCCACATGCCACACCGCACACGAAACAATGGCCCTATTGAGAGGCGAGTTCGGTGAACAGTTTATCTCACGTTTGGGGCCCGTCAATTGGCCGCCTAGATCGTGTGATTTAACGCCGTTGGACTATTTCTTGTGGGGCCATGTTAAGGCTAATGTCTACAGGGATAAACCAGTAACGATTGACGCACTGGAAGCCAATATTGAAGCATTTATTCGTGAGATAGTGGCCGATATGTTGGAGAGAGTGTGCCAAAATTGGACCTTGCGCATGGGCCATCTAAAGCGGAGCCGCGGCCATCATTTACATGAAATAATCTTTAAACATTAAATTATACCGACCGTTCTATCGACTCAAATAGAGATATAATCGTTTCTTCAAATTTTTTGTGTTTTTTTTTAAAATCAAATCCTATACCTCTTAAAAAATCACCCGTTACAAAGTACACAGTTTTTAGCAGATGTTTTGTTTGTAATTACGGCTTGAATTTGTCGCTGTTCGATTCAAAAACACAAGTTTGTTTACTTCTTTCCAAATTTGTAACATTTGGTGCTGTCAGTCATAACTAGGTTAAACTACACACCGCTCGGCACCTGATTTAGATACTGAGTCACATAGTCATAGTCATAACTCAATATCTGGGTCATCTTGAGGCTTGGGTATACGTGTTACTGGGAAAACTTGCTTATTATTGCCTCTAAATGAAAGTCCCAACTTTGAGGACACCCTGTATAGCTGCTTTCTTTGCTTCTTTAGAACCAGCGCTGCAAGAAGTCGCTTGAAGCCTATTTCAGTGAAAACTGGTTAGACAGACACAAAAACTTTCTTTGCCGATTATCTAACGGTAGGTGTGTATAAGCAGTCACAGTGGCATGTAGCTTGAATGGTTGATTTTTTTAACACCACGTTATATCGCTTGTTCTTATTTATTGAAATAGTTCTCTGCGGTCAGGTTTTACGTGTATTTATGATGATTATACTGCAAGATACGTTTTCATTATGTTCTGTTTATAAATTATATTCATGGATTCAAGATTTCACGCAACAATCTAGCTGGGCGACTGGTTGCTGAGATCTGCATTGTTGGTAATTCAGAAAACCTCTATAAAATTTCCATAATAGTAGTAAACAACTGGTGGTTTTTTATTGGACTATTACGTTTTGAATAAAAAAAATATTATCACAGACTTACCCACACAAACATCGTACGCAATCCCACACACATAAACGTCTGTAATTCCCCGTAACCTCAGTTGAGCCGCCAATTTTGTATCGGTTTGCTTTGAGTTATCCCAAAATGCCGAATAGGAATCCACTTCTGGATTTGTACCTTTGTAAATCTTGACTGAGTTTTCTAATACCTAAAATAAAAATCAGAAGGTCTTAAAGATGCATCGACTGGAAGCTTGCAGACCAGTTTTGACATACTATTTATACAGTGCTGGCCAAACTCGTGTTCCCCTCTAGATTTCCATATGTACGAGCGAGAGAGAGAGAAAGAGAGAGAGAGAGAGAACGAGAAAGAGAACGAGAGAGAGAAAGAGAGAGAGAGACATAATGTGTGGAGAGCCTCCCTCTCTGTCGTTGCCAGGCAACGTGGTGACGACGCCTATATGGCGTACTTTTTCTAACACGCTTCTCTCCGTTGTCTCACTCGTACACATGCAAATCAAAAATAAAAGGGAAAACGACTTTTTCCATCACTGTATTGATACTTCAAGGTTCAATACTTTGGTTTTAGACGATAGTTGCCTCAATGCTGAGATTGATTGATCATATATGGATAGTACTTAACATTCAGACAGGACGGAACGCATAAAATAAATGTGTTTTGCCGTTTTTTGATATATGAATAATTTCCGATTGTTCTCTATGCGTTAGCTCCAATACAGAATGTTTATTAGAAACTTGAGCCCACAAGATGTGTTGTTACGAGGAGAGTGGGCGGTGTGACTAGTTAGCAAATTAAAGGCTATGTTTTGAATTTTAGTAGCACCACAATCTTTTACCATAAAAGAGAAAATAACAAAGTCTCGGAATTAGCGATAAGTACAAATGGTACAATATACCAATACACCCTATCCAAATACCGTTGCAATTTTATTGCCATCGAAATGAATTAAAAAGGGATCAACGTATTTTTGAAAGATCCCTAGTACTGTAAGCAGTAACTTAAAATTAAAAATAGTTTTGTGACACTATATTATCACGAACGGTTGCAAATAGTTCTGAGGACAATTAATCTATCCACCCTTTACTTCTATCTACCTGGAGTATGAGGGGGAAGAATTATTGCAAAGGTGAGAGCGGAGGAATTCTCCATTCTGCAGTGAAGTTTGCAACTTCCGAAAGTGCCACGTGCCATGTTGAAACTTTTGGAATTTAAATTTAATGATCGGTGTTCCTGTACTCGCGTGCTCCAACTATGATTAGCTCTCAAACTGTTCAGGTTAAACTTAAAGCGTTATTTAATGTACGTATATACTACATTGCAGTAAAGTGCCAGCGTACTTGATAAGTACTTTATAATGTGCTGAAATTAGCTAAAAACAGAATTTAAAAACATCCAGTTCAAAAGGAAATGATCTATGATTATTGAAACCTACTCCAGTGGGGGTAACAAAATGGGGTTTTTATATCCCGCCGAAACATCAATATTTTGATCCCGAATTATATATTTTGAGAATTTTCACTGTTTTTATGAACCAAAGGTAGCCCTCTAAGGTTTGAACATAATATATCGCGCCAAGCCTTTGGCATCGTGAGTTCTAACTTTTTTTTTCACCACTAACCTGAGAAATCGACTGTATTTACCGCATTCTGTTAAGCAAATAATGATAATTAAAAAATTTCTGGATAAATAATGAATGTGTGCATATATGTAGGGCTGTCACTGTTATGGAGCTCTTAATCCATTTTCGATTATTACTAATAGTTACTGTTTACTGAAAATCAATTTTATAAACTAAATTATTTTTGTTGATTGTATTTGTTTATTAGAATGTAAGAAACAAATGTGTCGACGTATGTAGCATCTTCTATCTTTGCCTGTCTCTATCATGAAGTAACAGCCTCCCTCTCCTACATCTTACACGCCGTTCTGTGATGCAGATATTTCTAGTGCTTTATTTGGACAGTATTGCCAAACGTCCAGAAATGTGTCAGATATGCTATATTCTAAAGGCCAAGCAAATTAAATGTGGAAATATGTCATATAAGTGAAAAGATTCTATACATATTTCGGCGGTCATTATTGTCCTTGTACATTATATAAATGTATATGTATATAAATGTTTGGTCATGGACTTCCAAAACTCAGACTGAAATTCAAATAATTTTGATTGATTTGTCCAGTTGGTTGCACTATATCGTGATAATATATTATAATAATATGACTTGTACCTATTGTATGAAAAATACTTTGCTATGGATCATATAATTGTAAATGACATTGATTTATTGGATAGCTACATACGTCCAATCAAATTAACTTCCTTTTATGATCACCGATCCATGAATGTCACCCTATTGTATCCAAGCCCAGCACAACATTGATATTATTCATTTATGAATTCTGTTTAGCAAGCCGATTTATTCAATTTTCATTGTTACAGGTAAGCCCCGGGCTTGGTCCACTGACGCACTACATCACTGTCGAAACAGGTAAAATACTCTTGAGCCGAAAAGCGGTCATAACTAAACCCATGAAAAATACCGAGATTGAGCTAAATATGCTAAATATTGTCAAATACCTACTTCTCGTCCGTCACGTGAAGTGCAAATATTCCAAAAACGGTTTGTTTGATCGAAGTTGATGTGTCTTAGAAAATGGCGTAAGTTGGTTAACTCTGCACTTCACTGTTTGGTGAATCCACTCGCCAGACTCGGCAGACTGGCAGTGACGTAACGACACTCATGGGGGAGATTGTGACTGTCATCTCAGAGAGAGACGCGTGTCGAAGATATTTCTCTATCCATTAAAAGTTTAAGGGTAAATGTACGGGGAATAAAAACATAAATACACTATCGCCAAATAATTCAGTTATATCCTCTTCCACTCCCAATTTTACTAGCTTTCTCGTCCTTGGCGTGGTATTAACCGTGTGTAAAACTTCCATCAAAATCCGTGCTTGCCAAGTTTTAGGCAGGTCAAGGATTAGCGATGGAAATGAGTGATATGGTTTGTCGTAATGTACGTCATATAGCATCCAGAAATATAATATAATTTTCGAAATTTTCCGCAATTAGAGTGCTTCCTCGCCAACGGCTGTAACTAAGGTATATTTTTTTATACTCCAACCACCACGAAGGCCTGAACCCTAAACACCCGTGGAGTATCGTGGGGCTATAGGGCTATAAAGGGGAAAGGGGGGGGGGGCGGTGCCACACGGACCCTAGTAAGGGAGCACGTGCAACATACAGACAACAGGATCCTGCCTACGAGGTCCGCCGGGTGGTTCCTCTGCGTTCAACATTTAGAGACCGTCTACCACCTACGGACAATCACAACATCCATAGCCAAGAGCAAAATTCTCTTTGGACGGGATTCGAACTCGAAGCAGCGACAAATAAAGGAAAACACGGTAGGTCTAACAGTGAAATATAAACGTGGTCTCTATGGTGAAATCGGTGTCATATTTGGTCAAGTGAGACTTGGCAATGGGACAAATGTTTCGCTCTCACTATTTAGGTCAAAAGAGAATTGTTTCAGTTTTATCCATGTTGCGACTGATCAATGACTCGTCTCTAGCTGAGAGTCTCAGAACCTTTTCGCACCGACGAACCCTCGGTGATCTAGCACTCTTCTACTGCTACGCTCATCAGAGCTTTCCTCCTCGCCAGACAGACCTGCCTGACTAACATCCTAACCATGTCGAATTTCGTACATCCAGAACTGGCCGGCATTACCGCTCCTTTGCCCCTAGGGTATCGAGGCAGCATTTTCCAGTTCTAATAACCTTAGGCACTTCAAAAATCGGACTGAAAAGGTTTCTTTAAGTTCCTCAAAGCAGCGGTAGTGCCCTGGTATTTAGGCTTCTGTCTATGCGCATGCTTCAGTATTAAAAAAAGTTTGAAATTCAATTGTCCCTGAGCTCAAATCGACGAAATTTCTGTTGTTTCAATTGATATCTGTTCATTTCTAAATTGCACCCAGCGAACAGAAAATTAACGATTTCAGTAATCAAATGCTAACACACTGTACAGCTTTAACAAGCGACATTTTACTAAGTCGTCTCAATATCATTGTTTTCCCCAATTAATCTAGGATTACCTTTTAGTGCATCTATTTTGAACCGCTCTGTATGCAGATGGATATCATGCAACTTGTATCTCGTAGATTATACAATAATTGGAGAGGCCATAGCCCGAAATTAGCGGATAATTTGCGTTTGAAGTGATCTCATTGATCGCTATGTACCTGTTAGTAATTATGAATATCCAATCCACGATTATTATTGAATGCTGCAGTCCACAGGTTAACTTTAGGAGGGTGTTCTATATTTACAATGATTAACAAAATAAACCATTTTCGATACAGTTTCTGTAAGCATACAAGGTTGTTTCATTATTTTTTGCAACCATGTATACAGTATAGGTCTAGAAGTAAGGATAGAGACAAACGGAAAGCAAACAAACGGGCATGACATACTAAAAACTCAGTACGTTGTAAACAAAGAGGTGACAACGCATCTTAGTATTTTTATTTACGACCGGTTAGAACAGTACTTTATGAATTATCTTTCTGGGTGTTAAGCACCACTTACCACTTACTCCATGACCTCTTTTATGCCTTAGGGCGGTAAAATAACTTTAGCGCCCGCCACTGCTCATTTATCTTTTTGATTCCACTTAGAACCTACTCTAATATCATAATTTTTGTTGGTTGTGCATCATATTTTGACGTTAATCAACCTTTATGCTTCTTGGAATGTTCGAGTGAACGGCGCAAACGTTTTGAGCTCTGATTTCATGTCACGGGCCATAACTATCATCTTCACGCCCTAGATACGTACATAGCTATGATAATTTTTCCTGTAGTAGCAGAAGCTGGAGAGGTTGTTTGGGGAGTTTAAAAAAAAAACGTCCAAAAATTGTTATTTTTACACCCTAGATACATAAACAGCTATTACGATTTTTTTGTGTAGTAGGAGAAACAGACAATGTGGTATCTTTGGGGTGTTGAATGTCAAATATCTAGCAGTTGAGAAAAAAATGTTATTTTTACGCCCGATATACTTGTATATAAACAGCTATTACGATATTTTTCTGCACTAGGGCAGACAGACAATGTAACGTCTTTGGGATGTTGAGGATCTGATACCAAGAAGCTGAGCAAAAATTTTTATTTTTACATCCTAGATATATACGCAGCTATTATACCATTTTCATATAGTAGGACAGACAGACAATGCCGCGTCTTTGGATTCAATGTTCATTACGTTATGGCAAATATAGGTCCCTGAATGGTCTCGAGGGCGATCAAACATTGTTGTTTTTCTGCCCTTGATACATAAACCGCTATTGTGTTTTTTCTGTGGTAGGAGAGACTGACAATGTGACGTCTTTGGGGTGTTGAAGATTCAATGTTCATGACATTATGGGATATATACGGTCCTGAGTGGTCCAGATGACGATCAAACATTGTTGGTTTTATGCCCTAGATACATAGGTTTTTTTTTACTATTAGGTTTTTTTCTGTAGTAGGAGAGACAGACAGTGTGACGTTTTTGGGGTGCTGAAAATTCAATGTTCATGTCGTTATGACAAGCATACGTTCCTGAATGGAGCCGAGGGCGATCAAAAATTGTGTTGTTTTTATATCCTAGATACATAAACAGCTATTATGTTTTTTTCTGTAGTAGGAGAGACAATGTGACGACTTTGGAGTGTTGAACATTCAATATTCATGTTGTTATGGCAAGTTCCTAAATGGTCTAAACATTGTTGTTTTTACGCCTTAGATGCATAGATAGCTCTTGTGATGTTTCTGGTATAGTCATTACGTTATCGCAAGTATACGTTCCTGAGAGGTCCAGAAGGTAATCAGAAATTGTTACTTCGACTCCTAGATACATAAACAGCTATTATGTTTTTTCTTTATCCAGGAGAGACAGGCAATGAGCCGTATTCATAAAACAAAGGATATCCTTGTACTTGCAAATTTTGAAGGAAATCCTCCAGATGCTATTTATAATAATTTAAAGTAAATGTATATGTATAAGCATATCCTTCATCGTCCTTTCTCATTTTTACTTTTGGAACTTGTGACTTTTGCAAAATAATGGGATCAATGGCAATTTCATCTGCGATGAACTGCAGGTCATTGCCATTATTTTCTATAGTTTCCTCATCACTTGAGGATGACATGCTTATTAATTTGATAAAAAACTGTATCCAGTAAAAATACGGAACGGTCTGTGTAAGCTCTGGAGTACAACTGTCAGTGATGCTGAGTGAACGAACTCCCACGTCAACTACAAGCTAGAACAAGTCAGGACATGTCGCTCAAGATATACCAGTCAACCTTTTACTTGGAGGATATCCTCGCGAGTTGAAGGTAATCATTATGAATATGAGAACAAGGATATGCTTATACTTATACCTTTTTCTCCGAAGCAAGACCTAATACTTTTACCTTATGCTTCCGAGGATATGCTTCTCTTTTATGAATACGGCTCAATGTGGCATCTTTGAGCTGTTGAAGATCCAATATTCATTACTTTACCTCAAGTATACGTTACTGAGTGGTCCAAAAGGAGATTGAATATTATTTTCACGCCCTAGATTCATAAAGACATAAAAAGCTGATGACTGTTTTCTGTAGTGGAAGAGACAGTTAATGTGGCATCAGTGGAGTGTTATATGTTGAAGATTCATCATTAATTACGTTATAGAAAGTATACGTTCCGGAGTGGTCCAGAAGGTCGACAAACACTGTTCTTCAATATTACTCTATACGCTCTAAATGGGCAAAGCATGGCTTTCTTATGTCGGTATTTGGATATTAAGCATAAGTCTGGGACGTAATCTCGGCTGCATCTAGTAGAATGGAAGGTGTTCTTTTCCATTTAGTCATGCATTAAGAAGTCTTCGCCCTACTTCCCTAAAAGCCAACATAGACCTATTCTGACGAATATATTTATACAAATTGCTAACAGTGAGGTCGGTTTACTTACATTGTGAATTTATTATATATAACTATCATTTATCAGCTGTATTCCAAAGGACTACCTGGTATTTTTATATTCTAAAAAATCTAATATCCTAGCATCTAGAATTTCAGCATCTGCGGTAAAGATATGAAATGGCTTTTCCTATCTTACCTTAAGATCTTCATGAAGCTCACTACCCCAAGTATTCTGCACGCAATGCCTGGGCCATAGTTTTTGTTCAACCGGGGGATCCCCTTCAAACACTACAGTATCATACAACTGCGCCTCATCCTGAGGAACAGGGCTGGACTCATGGAATTTTCTCAAATGCACATTGTCAATAAATGAAACATGGTCAGACGGGTGCCAGTCATATGAATAGAATACAGCATCAAACTCTATGGTTTCTAGGAGGTGGTTGATCGGTGCTAGAACTTCTAGCGCGTTTTGTTTTGCGGGACAATTGCGGATGTCCAAGGTGCCGCAGATAAAGTCGTTCTGGACATCGATTACCAATATGGCGGATATAGGACGGACTATCTGAAAAATATAAACATATTTAAGTAACTCCATGTTCTAAGTAAAACCACATATACATATTGATACATGCATCACATTGTAACCGACATTTTGACGGTTTTGACTTTTTGACCGATTTGGATAGACTGAATTCTCGATATTTTTGCCCATATTTAAACTATAAACTTCTTGTTAGTGGAAATATGAAAAAAATTGAATTTTGATATCATTGTAAATGCATACTTTGGAATAATAACGGTTATATCATCGGTAAGATCGATACCGGTATACAGAATTTTAATCCCGGCTTTGTAAAGTATCATACGAGTCTATCGCGTCTAATTGATTACACTAAAACATGATATATGTCTTTATAAAATTTTGCTAGAAAAAAATGTTACTCCTGAGAGTAAGGTACCTTACGATGATGTTCCTCGTTGCCGCGAGAATGCAGTTACAATACTTTTACACAGATTTTAGTACGCATCGGTCACAATTCTAGTGGGACAGTTGAAATATCACCTGGTCGTCTATTTATTGTGATCATGCAATACAATATAAATACTTTATAATAAGCGAAAAGTGAGGTTATGTCGAGGCAGACAAGGACTCAGAGTTATACAAATATTTTTGTGACAGTGTAACAAGAATAAATAGTACTGTTGGCTCCATCTGTTGGGAGATTCTCCTACACGTCAGAACTTCATGGCCGATCTCTGTTTTTACGCGGATCACGACCGCACATGCCGCTTGGCGACATCTATTGAGGACCGTGACAGTGACTCGCCTTCTAGATGGACACGAAGTGATCTCGACGATTCTGAAAGGCCACTATGTGGCTCACCGGATTCTTCTCGGCCCAACGATGCGGACTATATAACTCGACGGCCGGGAGGGGGAAGCAGAGTAGGGTAGAGTAGAGCAGAGTGGAGTGTAGTTCAGTCAGTGGCCCGATATAAGAACTAGTCAGAGATAAATAGTGCTGTACATAAATGTTCTATCTAGTCAAGTTAAATAAATTAGTGCATTTCTTTTTGATCCACACCCAAAAGAACCCAGCAAAACGCTACAATAGCTTGACCTGTGGTGGACAAACTGGCACAGAAGACTATGAATAGAGTTATATACACACATCCTAGAGGGATGCCATTTTTTGTTACCTTATAGAGCTAAACTCTTGTTTCTTTTTTAATCCATAAGAAGTTTTTATATAATAAACTCTTAAGAAAGTTCAAATTCAATTAGACCAATAATTAAAACATATCAACTATGTGACAGCCGACAAGTTTAATTAGACTGATTTGATTTCTAAAACAGGTTACTTGAATGAATTTTAAACCGTAAACTTATAAAGTGAGTTTACCTGCTCCAAGTAAACCAATTTAATTATATTTATTATATCTGTTTAATTGGTTTAGGCAAAAGTGTTTACCTAGTTTTTATTAATTATTTGATTTATACTTAAAAAGATATTTAGATAATATTTCGAATTTTGAAAAACAAATTGGATTTTTTACTGAATGATGTATATTATAAAAGTTTTGTCAACTATTTGTCTGTTTTTGTAGAAACAGGTTATGTCACCATTCACTAGCAGCAAATCTTTGTTTTAAGGGAAAGAGCTAAAACTGAATAAGGAAACTTGATAATGTGTACAAAAATTGTACTTTTATTCGCAAATAAATTCGACAGTACTTTAAACCAACCATATGTTCAAATGCTACAAAGTATACACCACCAGGAGGCTTACTTTATTCTTTATAAATGAAAGGCACTACAAGCCAATGTTAAGCACATATTTGGTATAAATGCCCTTCATTGTTCTAAATACGGCTGCACAAATAAAATTTCAAATTTCTTCCCATTATTACTCTAATCATTGTTATGGTGCCTTATGGTCGAGTATATCACTTGATCACCATAATAGATCCACTTCACAGCTAATAAAGGCAATATGCGAATATGAAGCTCCTCTCACAAATAAAACTGATGAGTTCGAATGGCGTTTCCGGCACCGCGTCTGTCGCTACTCCCGACCATGCACGAATGAAGAGACGAGTCCTGCCCAGTTCGCGATTCAAATAAATGGTTTAAGTATTTTTTACTAAAGTGTTAGGTAGTCTAATGAAGCCTGTATACATAAACTAAATTATATAAACTAACCAAACAGTTTAATTAAACAAGTGCATGGTTTGTTATTTTCGAGCAAATTAGTTTAATAGTATATAATTTTCAACTGGTTCCAGAAAATTCACATTAATTAAACTGAATAATTCAATTAGTTAGAGCAATTAAAAAAATTTATTACGAGTAATGAAAATTTTCCAGAACAACTTTTCAATTGACCACGTGTTCTCAGTATGGATAACCTCTCTAGTGCCCCATATACAGTATATGACACAACTAAATGATGAAAAATTCGACTGAAGTTGTTAATTAAAATATTGAAATTGCTCTCATGAAAAGATGACATTTGTCACTTACAATGTTATTACATGCATGTATCGATATGTTGAAATCACTCTTTACTGGCGTTTCGCCCACCGCAGTGGCCTTTTTCAAAGTGCAGATCATCGACAATTACGACATGTTTTATACTTATGTTTTCAAGGTGACAGGCCGTTTTTTTTTTTTCGCGTTGCAACAACAGGCTGAACGGTACTGGGAAATTCCAGCCTCCTCAAAGCGATAAGCGAGCATGAGGTTATCTATTGTTTTGGATGTAGCAGACACGTCACTTTCGCCTTATTTCCCTGAAACGCACCCAGAACTGTTATGCAATCTTGGACTACAAGTGCTGCATCTGCATTGTGCTTGGAATTCATATGAACAATACGCTGATATAGCCACATCAGAATATAGATAAACATCATACTTCAACTGTCTATCTCATTGTGTTAGTATACTTACTAGTTTGATCCAGTTGTTCCAAAGGTACGTAAATTCACCTCTATCTATTTTATCGTCGTTCTTGGTATCGAATATATGGAATACGTCTCGAAGTTGATAGTCTTCTAATTCATATGTTTGACCCTTATTATTCCTGAAAAGTGCTTGGCAGAGTACACGAAACTCGTTCAGATGCAGGTATCCATCTCTGAAAATTTGAACGTAGTAATAACGAAAAAATACATCAGATAGATATCAAGGATATGCAGTTTTGATTTCCTTCTATTTATTATCTGCCCGAGACTTTCGTACTCCTCTCTATGTTCTTGAAAGTCTTGCGAGTCAGTATATTTCTCAGGTAGTTGCCTAGATACCAGACATTTTAGAGAGAAGGAAGAGACAAAGAAAGCAAAAAAGAAGGGGGATGACAAAGACGAGGAAATTTCTGGGCAGATAGAAGCTATAATTTATGTAAAAGGTTTACTTATCAATTTAAAAATTTGAGATTATTTGTAAAACGATACAAAAGTGTACATTTTATGAAACGAGTATTGTCAGAAACTAATAAAAGGCGACATTCTTCAGGTACAAAATAAAATAATTGTTAAACTATTTGTCTTCTTGCCACCATTTGAGCCTTGTTGTTAAGATAGTATCATCCCCATATTGCATACTGAAAATATGCGTCAACACACGCATAAGCATTAATTATGCAAATTTAGAGTACTTATGCATGTATGCATGCAACGTAAGAATGTGGACAGAATAGCATAACGTGTTTTTGTCTGCCCAGTTTGGACGTCACCCTCTCAGGTAATATGTATACGTATACATTGAAAACCAAATACCACTACCATCGTAATGTGTGCGACAGTGAAGCGTGCAATACGTGAGAGATATGAGCACCTCGTCGCCTAGCAACCCGAGTACACGGCCGCAGATGCCATCGGCGTAATCTTTCTAACATACACATTGCATGTTTCTCGTGCTCTGAACCTCACCCTATAACTTATTCTATATTCCAAGTAATATAATTTGTACATCAATTTCGTCCCCATTTGAGCAATTATGGATAATAGACATATTAAAAAGTTGTTGAATAACCATATAATTTGCTTTTAGCATTTATTGACGTCTTCCTCAGTCTTTTTTTTTTTTTTTTTTATACTCCAACTACCACGAAGGCCTAAGGCCTAAGCACCCATTGGGTACCGTGGGGCTATGGGGGATACATGGGAAAGAGGGGACGCCACACGGACTCTGGCGAGGGAACACGTGTGCATGCAACATGCACACATTCTGGCTCCGCCTACGAGAACCGCCGGGTGGTACCTCCGCGTTCGACAGTCAGAGACCATCTACCACCTACGGACAATCACAACATCCATGGCCAAGAGAAACATTTCTCCTGGGACGGGACTCGAACCCGCACAGCGCACGGCGGCTGATCAGGAGACCGAAGGGTCTACTACTGCGGCCACCGCTGCTGCCTAAAACAAACACACAACATCCATGGCGAAGGCGAGATTCGAACTCGCGGCCCGGCCGGCCGGCTGATCAGTAGCACGACACTCTGACCCACGCGGCCAACCGAGGTCCCCGTCTAGCCATTTCTTCCTAATGGAAATTTTGGGGCCAAGAGTAGCTTTAGTTGGGCAACATGCATCCCCGAATGCGCAAAAATGGTTTTTGCTAATGTAGACTGGTGAGATGTTTTCCATCGTGTAGTTGAGTCGTAGAAATTTTGTTTTACTTGGAAGCCTCGGCAATATGGGAAAATGGAACACATGGGTAATTCTCATAAGACATTCTTTCATGTAAGGAGGCTAATTGCGAATGGATATATAAAAGATCCACTCTGAAAGTCAGAGGGTCAATTCTTGAAAACAAGGGATCAGAAAAATAAAGCTCTAATACTTAATTTTTTAACTTATTGATAAACGAGCCGCTCCCATGTCATTTTGCTGGATAACAGGGGAAAAAGCGCAGGAACCTCTGAAGACGAATTGAATTTTGCAATCAAACATTTAATGATATGAAAAACTTATAGGTATATTTATTTTACCTAAAATTGATGTTCTCACAAACTTATTTGATAAACGTCAGGCGAACGTCAGAAAGTCACGAAAAGCAAGTGTTATGTTGTTCATTAACGAAGCCTGCCTGAAGATAGGTAACTTGATGCTATATTTCCGCGTCTAAGAAATGGTAGGGATAAAATGAGATGTAGCGTCAAGTCTGAAGTTGTCACAACTGTTTATCTATTTACTTTATTTTAGATAGTTTGAAAAGGTTGGTATCCCATAGATGGCGCTGTAGCCGCCTATGTGTGTATGTATACTCGTATAGGCAGCGAAATATAGATGCCGCTTTATTTTATCTCAGTTAACTTTTTGGACGCGGGAATATCGCATTAGGTTGGCTATCTTCAGGTAGAATATGTTCAATGGATATACAAATCTTTTGTTTTCAAGAATAGGCGTCATAGACGACAGCCTGTAGTCACGATACACATCCGCTGAAGATAGGATATTGCGCATGTGGACGGAGCTTCGTGACGTTACCCGGAGAGTTGTCGGCTCGTGGTTACCAGCGGTAAATACATAAAACTCATAACAACTTATATGGATTTGTTGTATCTCTATACGTGTTTCTTTCGGCAAATCCGATATTTTTTCCAAATTCAGCAATTTTCAATTTTACATCAAACCATCTCCAATCCTTGTTAAATTTCAAATTGCAACGCCACTGTCCCAAGTAGCGAATTTGTTGACTCAGCTGATACTGGCTACATCGTGACTCACGGTGACATAACTGCATAACCATAACATAAAACATAACCCACATAACCTTACACGACCAACCACAGAGGATGCCACATTTTCGAATATACAGATCCGTCGTTCAGACAACAAAATGGCATCCGGCGAATATACGTTTTTGCCATTTATACGACGTACCGGTCCTTATCGAAGGCGTTGAAACATGCGTCCATATCTTGATGGAATGTAGCGTCGGCGGCCTTTGTCGTTTGGTCCGCGTCAAAACCCGGCGTCATGCTAAGCTAGTAACACTCTGCTATTGACAGGCACATTCGCGCTACTGTTGATGTCTAGCGTCGGAGCGTCGCTTCACCACGCGGGTTTCCGTCAAACTACGGATATCGGACATCCGAGTGCGAAGTGGGAGGGAGAGGCGAGGTTGCACATGGGCACAGTGTTGCCAAGTGCTGATATTGATTTCCTTGGAGCATGAGCATTCGAGCCGGATACTCGGCAGAAATTATGAACTTTTGATAAAGAGTAAAAAAAAACAGTTATGGCCGTTTTATTGACAAGATGTGTAATAAAGTGGATTTAATAATGCAGAACTAAGAAAAATGAACAAAAAATTTAGAATTTTCCGTTCAACTTATCTAAGAACTAGTCAGCCAGTTCTAATGCTGAAAAGTATAACTACGGAAGATCAATAGGAACGATCATAAGAGGTTTTGACATTTTGAGGCTTTCGATACTATATTTCATGTATATATCCAGCGCTAGAGTAGATTACAGAGAGTAGATTGTACAGAAAACTCTATATATAAATACCTGTATTTCAGAAACTAATACTCAAGCGCGGATCCAGGCTTTGAGCCTAGGGAGGACAATCTTTGAGTCAGCGGAAGGTCGCTTAGTCAAATTTCATGCAGGATAGGTCCCAATGTGTTTAAAATCACAAATCTAATTAATAAAACCATTTTATTGTCGTCTTTTTTTACGTTTCCTTTTGAAATGGTCTATCACTTCTTCTACGTCGACAAGAATATATTTGTGGACGTCAAGAAGGCCAGTCCACTTAGGTAATCTTCTACCATAGATGCTCTCAACTAACTGACAGCTGAGCAAGAATGATTATGATTTTTTTTCATGTTGGGATAAAGATCTGCCGTCTGGATCATAGGCACCTATACGAGTACATGAATTATTTGAGACACTGAAATGAATTCGCGCAAATATTATTGTCTAGACCCTCAACATGTTTACAAGTTCTTTCTTGCCAGTGTAAATGTTGAGATCAGTCGACTTTTCTTCATCATGGATTTCTCTTATTGTATTTCTACGCCTAATTCTATTCATAGTTAATTATTCTGTTGCTTTCCAGTCTAATTCCATTTACTGTTTCTTAATAAGATCTGAGGAAGTTTAAGATATGTGACAACATGGTATAATGTTTAAACGTGGCGCCGCGACGTATGGTGGGTTTGGCGATGCGCGGCGTCTGATGACGTAGGCAATGAGTCTTGGCCAGTGGCGTAACTTTGATTAGATCAATAGGAGTGCCATCGCTATAGTAAATTAAATCAGCAGTCCAAAGATGTTCTTAGAGTCGTAGATTCCTATGAGTGGGAAGAGTCGGGTAATGTGATAAAATTTCTAAAAACGGAGCGTTACACTCTTAGCAGAAGCTTTGGAAATATTAGAAATCTATCTATTCCCAGAAACAGGGAGATATTAAAATAGATACATATGTTCATTCAATTAAAATATTTACTACCGAGTACTGCTATCCCATTGCTCTTTCACATTTTTGAAAGTGTGGGATTTCTATACATATGCCTCCAGTGGATGTCTATTAAGTATCAATGGATGAACAGATACATCCAGTGGATATCCAGATGTCCTCCTATTTCCGAGAATTTGGACGTAATTGTAGATATTATATTTATAGCTAATGGATATCAGAAGAATGATGTTATGAATTTAATATTAACATACAACAAATATTCACTGAGTGTTGAGTATCGAGCGGTTCATCATAGAAACATCTAATGGCTATTCAGGTATATGCAGAAGATCACATAATGAGCAGGCAAATCTGCCACGTACAATTTGAAAATGAACAAGGATAATTGAAACCCCAACCCAACGAGTATGTCAGAAATATTAATTTCTGTAAGGTTAAGGTCCACTTATGTGTATTCTTGTTTCTTTTTGTTCTGTTCACTTACCTACTTCTTGCGACTGTACGTTTAGAGTAGTTACAGATGCCAATTTCTTCTTATTACAAGTAAAACTTCCTATTGTTGCGATGTTTTTGGAGGTTAAGATCTTGTAAAAACCTTTTATTTGACACAATAATTTTACTTGTCAGATGAATTAGGTAAATAATTATTGTAAATCTTTTCCACAAAAGAAGCTGTCAAATGATGTACCACTGCACACAGGGTTCACGCTGTGTCGAAAGTGCTCAGACATGGAATAAAGCAAATGTGAGCCGACCATTATGCCCTTTATACAGGGTGTTCCATAATTATTGCGACAAAATGATAGGGGTTGTAGAGGGCATCAAAATGAACAATTTTTCCTTATAAACCCCTGTTCGGAAATATGCCGTTTGGGCTGCAGCAAAAAAAAAAGATCAGTTTCTTGAAACAGCTTACCTACAGTAATTGCTCAAAGTGTCCTCCACCTTGCTCAATACACAGCTGTGCACGATTGTTCAATGATCGGCGAACTCTGTGGCATACCCCCGGTATGTCCTGAACATGTGCGGACGCGGCCATCACTCTTCCCAGTAGCTCTTGTTGGTTGGGAACAGGAGTTTCGTACACTAAAGCTTTCAGATAGCTCCAGATAAAATAATCCAGTGTGGTCAGGTCAAGTGACCGCGCAGGCCAAGGCACAGGGCCACCTCGGCCTATCCACCTATTTGGAAATTTGTCGTCCAAATACTGCCGCACTTGTAAAGAAAAGTGGGCTGGACCGCCATGGTGTTGAAACCACATGTTGGCTCTTATATTCAGTGGCACATTTTGTAATAGTTCCGGTAGCACATGCTGTAAGGATCGACCATAAGCATGCCCATCCAAACGTGGTGGAAGCAGATATGGCCCGATGATATGGTCGTCCACAATGCCGCACCAGATGTTAATTGAAAACTGATGTTGGTCTCTATGGATGGCTATGGCATGAGGGTTTTCTTCATCCCAAATGTGACTGTTATGGCTATTAAAATAACCGTCCTTTGTAAAACAGGACTCGTCAGTGAACAAAACGTAGCGACCAAAGTTTGGTTGCCTCAACTCCTGCTGCAGCCACCAACGGCAAAAACGTCGACGCGGCAGATAGTCTGCTGGACCCATGGCTTGGACTTTTAAAAGGTGGTACGGGTGTAGGATAACAAAAATGTAAACACAGCAGGCTTTTTTTACAAACCGGTGAGACCATGAAATGTGCTAGACGAACATTTTGCAGCTGGTGAATTTTTTGTTTCTCCTATGAGCTCTTAAGGTAAAATTAACTGTAGTGCTCAAACGGCATATTTACGAACAGGGGTTTATAAGGCAAAATTGCATATTTTTATGCCCTCTACAACCCCTATCATTTTGTCGCAATAATTATGGAACACCCTGTATATTTTTGATGAATTGTAAAGAAGCAACGGTGGATTACTTAATATTCGAAAGCCTCACTGTGGGGACATACCATATTTACGTAAAATGACACCAACGTCCTATCATCTGCTGTAAAAAAGGCGTATGCCATTCCCATAAATTTTTATTCTGCCGAAAATTTGTCAAAGGAAACAGGTATGTATAGGTGTATCCCATGAATATATGAAGTGTGGGGCGACAGAGTTGATTGCGTCGAGATGAAACGAATATGGATGATTATGCCTTCACATTTGTTCGGCTTTACCCTCTTCAAATTTTATTCTTGTTCATTATCCAGATAACAAGTTTCGATATATCTAAATCAAAATTAATTTAGTGATCTCAAGATATCCATGGATATTCTAAAAGTCCTGGAAACTCTGTATAACCATCAGATATCTATTAGATGTCATCCATGAATTGGATACACCATGGATGTGGTGGGTATCTAGTGTATACGAGTATACTGTAGATGACATGTGCTGTCTGTAAAACTCTCTAAAAATGGCATATTGACCCCTTGGTGGTTCGCCAAACATGCCACCCAGCAAACAGAGGACCCTATTATTGATTTCTCTATATGCTTTTCTCATCACATACCTTTTTGAGCATCATTCGTCTCCATTGTTGCTTTTGTCTACGTACTTGGCAAGATTGTTAGCAGTAAGCCTTTCGCCGAGCGTTAGTTCCAGTTGCATCTGGCAGTCAACCCATATTATACGACATATCTGAACATTCTAGCTTATGAGGGCAGTATCTGCATCTGTCGCATTTTTCTAGTGCATTAAGTTCAACTGAACGTCAGGTATAACACAGATCTGCATGATAAACCTATACTTGTAATCGTGTTATATAGGCTTTCTTGTAACGATTAAAATAATTCAGTGAAAGTATAAAAATTATTATTAGTATTAACGGTTGTTCATATAACACTTCTGAATAATCTTTAGGGATTTACTGGGATGAAAACCTTGCTTGATCAAACATCAATCACTTTTTTAACGGTAATAGGTTGGATTCTTGTCTCTGCGCTGGTTTTAGCCAAAATAAACTAGTCTTTGATGCAGTAGAAAGGAATTGCAGAACGGGGGGCGGTATATTACGATTATCAGAACATTAATTTCTTCTGCACTGGGGTCCATGGAATAGCTATATTTTCTGACGGGGCCTCAGGGCAGCTATTTGTTACTTAGGCGCTGAGGATAATAATAAATATGCAGTTATGCACACAACTTCCTACTGAAAGCCTGCATTCTGCGTCACTGGATTCCGAAAAATTCCATTGCGCTGACCAAGCGCTGACTCTGATTCGGGGAAGTACCGCACCTATACTGTAATTCACAATGCTCAATTTAGATACGAGTTGATAGTGTTGATACTTTTGCCCACACCTAACATTCAATATTGTATTTTATGATATTGAGTTAGACGAGATATGGCTGTATGCGTGATTAACTTGAAGTTGATATATTTATTCTAATCCTAATACATATGTTACATCTGTCGATAACAATCGATAATTCTCATAAACCTCTGTGTACCTATCTGTGATTTCGATGACAACTTGTTTCCTGAGGTCACCGATAACTTTGAGGGCGACGAGGTATTAATTATTATGGGTTTCAAGTACCTATCTTGTCGCTTGCTGTTTTATTCGTTTTTCTTGGGAAGGGCAAAGGAGATCGAGCGAGGGTGAGGATGCTGGCCGAGATGACAATCACTTAAAAATAGGGGTTGGAAGGTAATACGGTAAATATGCCAGTGGTCGGACAGTTTGGACAAAAATAGAATAGAAAATGTAATTACCAATTTTGGTGATTAAGATAACAAAACTAATGTTTTCGGAGGTAATATACAGGGTGTCCGCAAGGTTGGGGTTTTCCTTTACACGAAGTGTAGATCTTGAAAACATAAGCAATTTCTCTTAGTACCATGTACACCAAAGTCTTAAGGGAACCGAGATAAAGGGCTCTGCAACATCAAAAATATCTGAATACCGTCCTGTAGCCGCAACATCCCCGACTGGTACTAGGACACTAGCTCAATCCGACGACAGAACTGGGTCGGGGTCAGTGTATCAGGTCAGTATGCAACCTTCAACCGACGGTTACGGTCACGCGTCTAGAGGTAATCGCGTAGACGAGAATCCCTCAACAAGCACTACAGACGTGGCTAGAGAAGTGCAAGTATCAAAAATCAAAGTGTGGCAAACGCTGCGTGAAGAGGAGCTGTATCCGTTTCACGTCCAACGTGTACAAGGACTTCAACCTGACGATTTTCCAGCAAGAGTGCGGTTTTGTGAGTGGTTGTTGCATCAACATGACAATAATCCGGACTTTTTGAAGTGCATATTGGTCACAGACGAATCTAAGTTCACGCGTAATGGGGTGAATAACTTTCGCAACACTCATGTTTGGTCAGTAGAAAATGCGCACGCTGTCCGTCGGGCACATTTTCAACAAACATTTTAGGTGAATGTTTGGGCTGGCATGGTGAACGGTATGCTCATTGGACCATTTATTCTCCCAAATAGATTGGACGGGATGCAATACCTAGACTATTTACGCAAAATTTTACCTTCCTATTTCAAGGGTAGTTGTTTCTGAAAAGGAAAACCCCAACTTTGCGGACACCCTGTATATGTTGTTAGCTTTTTGCCGACAAGAAATACATTGTTTATAAATATTCCTTTAATTTTGGACAAAAATAAGCTGTACTGTCGCCCTTAAACTACCATACTGTTTATATATTTCAAGCAATTTCCCAACATTTCTCACAGCTTCGACTTTAGTCTGAATTCACTTTATATATGAAATTTATTTTTCTCTTGGTATTAACTCCCAAATGATGTGAAACTGTCACAGTCTCGTGAAAAAATGGCGGGAAAATGGAAGTGGTCAGTCGTTGGGATGCTATGAAGATTTGTTCATTCCAATAGTCTGACACAAAATCACTGGCCATTATCTACATTGATTATCTTTCGCTGACCGTCCACTGGCTGGAACTTCAGTCGTATTTTGGTTTGCTTAATTCTAAGAGACAAGTTTGATAGTCGCTGTGTTTAGACAGATAAAGACAGATTGATAACAGCCACGCCATTCAACGCAGGTGCATTGATATAAAAGATCAAAAATCAAATCCAAAATTTCGATAATACGCAGCAAAATGAACTACAGGATGAAAAAGTCTGTCAGCGACAGAATGACAAAATTGTCAATATCTCTTTGGTAATTCTGACCAAGGCTTAAGTAGTTTAACCACCACTTTTAGCTATGAGCTAACTTTCACCATGAGTTTGAGGCCTATAAACATGTATGACTTATAGCTGACTCGAATTAACTACGCATTGATAAACCATGGATATTTGTAACGACTGGTGAAGAAAATGGAAATATTAGTCCTTTATTATTTTGAGGTTACCTATATGTGAGCAAGTTTTCATAAATATCCGTGTATATGCGGTCTGAACAAAGCCTCGTTTCCTAGGTAAATATCACAGAGCAGAGACACTTTGTATTTTATGAATTATTTTATTGTATTTTTGTTCATTTCTGTATATCACTTCGTACCCCTGCTTCAACGCTACTCCCAATAACTGTTACACGTCAAACAACAGTTGTTTATTTTTTACCAGACAGTTTTTTCACGTGCTGCGTTATGAGTGATGGAAGGCTATAGTCTATTTCAGTTTCCGCTATCCACTCCACAAAAGGGTAATCTAAAAATATCCCCACGTATATGTAGCTGGGTTTGAAAAAGTGGTGTTTCTACCTTTCAGCCTGCTATTGATCAAACACAGAGAGGAGTGTGGTTAAAGCAATTTGTAGCTAACATAAAAATGCTCGGGCGAACACCTCGAATATGCCGTTGTGTGACGTCATTCGCACTCAATTGCTTGCTGGAGTTGTGACGCTTGTTTTGATTAATGGTTAGACAGACTGGAGAATCGGTTCAAAGAAAAACTCATTTGACTTCTTTTACACGGCAAGAAACAACACAACAGGCTTTTATATTGCCAACACGTAATGGAGACGAGGGCTGGAATTTAGAATATCATACAATTCTTTAACATGATGTTCGAATGCCCATTAGTCCAGATCACTAATTTACAAGGACTTTAGACTCACTTCTCTTAGCTTTACGGTGCCAAATTTCCATTTTCGTTGTTTATGGATACAAGCGACCAAAACTCGGGTCCCACAGGTGATTCCAGACGCTGAAGTCTATTATGACTGTCAAAAAACCCTGAACGGTCATGGTCTTGAATTTGCAGAAAAAACGAACCATCTCAGCGTCGCATTGGCCTTACTTGTAAGTTATGTGGTATATTTGAAGAAAAATGGCGTCAAGTAGGTTGACTTTGCATTCCTCACGCAACGCCGGCATCAGTTCATAAAGGATTATGTTTAGCTCAGCTTAGAGCCTCTGAGAAAAAAGTAAGGCATGAGCAAGTATTACAGAGGAACCAGCCAAGTCAGTCAAATAGGCCCATGTAATAAGTAGTCCTTATTTTCCTACCGGCAGTACCGTCCACCTAGCAACGTCATCCATTCCCCATACATGTCCGTAGCGCCCGAGGTAGCGCCGCATTGACAGAAAGTGGCAGTTGATCCCGAGAACAGTAGGGACGGGTATCGAAATCATAAATATGATACCATTAAACAACTGACATATACCCTCTCCGACCACTACAACTCCCAGTTTTCAGCACCTCCAAATTCTTTTCTGAAAATGATCAGGAGTTTTTTTCATTTTTTGTCTAGTAGGTCCTCTGCCACTCTACCTATTTTCAAAAACTACAAATCTTTCCGTTCTTGACATAGTAGTAACCTTGTGTGAAAATTTTATCCAACTCTGAAAGGTAGGTACTTTGCAAGTCATTGACAGGCCGGGGATTAGCGGATAGACAGACAGACCGACAGGCCGAAAGACAAACCGCCGGAAATAAAAAAACGTAGTATATCATTTTCAAAAATTTTCGCGATCACAATTATTCCTCGCCAGTGGCGTAGGAAGTAAAAAATACCTTAATCGCCCCAAATTGGGCAATCGTGTTTGTTTTCCTCCTGTTAATTTCATTTAATGGACTGGAAATTTTATGATCACAGTTATTTTACACATGATCATTATTGTTATGTTAGATGGGTAATAGTGATAATCAGACAAAGCAGAAGTATAGCAAAATATCTTTATATTTACAAATGATTAATAGATAAAAAATAAATAACAACTTATCTGAAGTAGTGTATGCACCTACAATAATTTAAGTTTGGTTCGAAATAATTGTGTAACAGATAACAGTATAACAAAAAAAATGTCCACATGTTCAACTAATATTTTTTCAGTAGGATATTGCAAAAGAAAAAAAATTAACTTACAGGTAAGACTGAAGATCCGCATTTTCTTCTACATTCATGTTTTCATCTATCCAAATTGGGGAAAATGGAAACACCACTTAATGGAGAACTGATGAGAATTGAGTCTAACATCGATAAAAGGGATACAAAGATGAGGAGTATTTTCTAGCTTTGTACTCCACGAAGTAGATGTTCCTCTGAAAAGTTAGCCCACGATGTGCATGTACTCTATGCAATAAACTATAAGCAAGTATCAAAAGTGAAGAGGGTAGCAGATGCTACTCGATACGTCATTATCCTTGTTCGTACAGTCAGTCACTTTTATTGTAAGCAAACAGCTTTTCTCACGCCATAGACAATTTAGAAGTATAAAGCCTATTGATTTGAGGAATTTCAAGTATCTTCGCGACACTATATTCGTATTATCAACATGTGTCTTATACCTGCATTTTGACTAGGTTTTCGCTATTAGTCGAATCTTTTAATGTGTGGTCTCATTTTTTAGGTTCCGAAAATACCTGAATATCTTAAGAGTTTTTTCGATCTCGCCAACACCATTGAATCCCAAAAAATCACGTTTTCTCATTCATTGTTGTTGAATAAAATGTTTAAAAAAAAATGGTATACCCATTCTATGCGTCCATGTTTTAAAAACCCTCTTGAACAACTCACATCAATAAAATCATGCTGTACAATTATTTCGCAAACCAGATGAATTTTTGTCTAATATGATTAGACTCGTACACGTATGCAAGTAAATAATAAATTACGCTACTCTTTTTGGTACTTTTTCAGAGGTTGCATAATTTGTTGCGGATAAATACTTCTATTTATAGGTACCAAAATTCTGTCTCCGGCCATCGGCTTTTAGTCTTACTTTGGCAACTTGGCACATATTCATCTAAATTTATATTCCTGTGCAGAAGGGGGCAATAGGTGACAGTGCAGCCCCACCAAAAACTCTAACACCCGTTTTAGTCCAACTGATCAGAACACTCTTCCCGTTCAGTGGTGCTCCCTTTTGGTTGGTACAGTCGTAGCTCAGTTGCACCAATAGAAGTCCAAGAGGCTTCTGTCCTTCTGCTGGTATCTCGATGTTTGATATTCTACGTGGGTGTATTGTATAGGACCTCCTGGGGTAGTGAGGGTGAGGTTTGTAGATCTTGTTTATCTGTAAAACAAACAAAAAAAGGAAAATACATCATGAAGGATTTTGGTTACACCTGGGCTTGGCCCAAGAGCCTAGCCACAGTTAAACAACGTCTTTGTAAAGGTTTATCTAAGATATATTAAAGACGTCAAATATTGGGAATGCTGGGAATGGTAGACGATTTTTTAGGCTTTGAGCAGAGAATGCTACTTTTTCGAATGATGTTTATTAGCTTCTTCAGAAACATACAGTTATAAGATATAAATACACTTATAAGGATCGTGAGATTAGCGTAAGCGTAATGTATGTGTATGTCAAATTTTCTGAAATGCCATATGGGCATCAAAATACTGGTTGGGTTTATCTTCTGTTATCACACAGAAAAATGTGAACTGATTCAAAAATGTAAAGTTGTGGGTAATCATGTTTAGGCTCTATTTAAATTTTTGCTATGTATATTAGACAAGGGTAGGCTGTATTTGATTACCTTTCTCTGTGGTTGTGTCAAGTCAAACATATCGAAAAACGTCTTGGCCATTCTGGAGGGTATTGAAGTAAAATAGTCAAGAACACTAGGTTCTGAACTGCTCCTGGGTGACTCCAACTCTATGGTATGTTTGAAGGGAACGCCTGACTTGAAGCGATATGATTTGTATTTGTGACGTTCATTACCAAAATGAGCCTAAAAAAAACAGAATTTATGTATCCCCAGCAGGCAAATAGCTTGGTATAATATAAACCTTAGAGGTCACACTGCAGATGAGAGCTCAGCTTAGCTAAAATCTTTATAGAGGATATTTCTTGCCAATGTCGTTAAGCGAGTCACTCAGTGGTTCCTTTTTAAAAGTAGCTGCCATCGTCCCATTGTCTCTAAATATGCTTTAATTACAGTCAATCTAATGTTTTTCCTCGAATGTGTTCAGAATTGTAACTCAACAGAAGTTAGTCAAACAATCTCAAACAATTAGTCCATAGTCATTTCTTGCCCTACCGATAGTAAAGATCATCTGGCAACGATTCTATGACAAACCTCAGCCATATATTTTTGCTCGTCACATGCCAGCCTTAGCTCCATGGCAGGCACCATCGACTACGCAACACAGTGAGATGACGACGAAGGTATACCCAGAGACGCAAGTATTTAAAATATTTCTCTATCATTCTAAGTTTTAAAGGCAGATGTACGGCCCCCAACTAGCAAAGTAGTGGTATAAGCTTTTGGCAAAAGAACCGTTCAGCCATAAAGGTTCACTATTGTGAACACCAACCACCTGAACACCAACATGCTGGCTTAATGTTGTGTGGAATGCAAATTTGCTTTCTGCAACATATTTGCTCTAAAATGAGGTGTGTAAAATATTCTTATAGCATAGTTATACAACACATTATAGGGCAAATTTTTAACTGTTGCATAAACGTTTATACAACTATTTTATACGCCATATTTGCATGTTAGTCAAAATGGTTGTGTTGTGACATCCATGGTAACGTTTATAAAACAAACCTGAGCCTTGTTGTTTTGCTGTGCAATTTACTACTTTAGCCAACAACTCTGTCGGTATTTCATTTCAGACATTTTTCAAATTGTTATTTAACACCTGCAGGCAACACCAAAATATTCTAATAACCTAAAGACAACATGGACGATACCATGATTATACACAACCACCCGCCATATTGGGCAAACATTTATTCCTCTATTTAATATTAAATAATTATGTTTCAGTTCGAAATTGCAGATATAAAGTGATAAACATTAGTATAATTGTGTCGAAATATAGGATTTGTGGAAGATTTAACGCAGATAAGTTCAGTTTTCCATCCTAAAAATCTAGACATACTTATGATTATTATCAAAATATGAATCAAATATGAAACCCGTAGAAATTGAGTAACTAATTTGTACGATAATCACAACAAAATTTGCCGCGCAAGTAATTCAATAGCCCTATATCGCAGTGTAGAAGTTTATCATATACATGTCGTTGAAACTCATAATGGCCGATATGTAAGTAAACAAGATGACTATAATGTGTCAGTTATATATTCTTCACTTCGTCTATACAACACATAAGAAATAGTTTGTTTGCAATAAAGTAGAATCACGTAATAGAATAGTTGTATAGTTGACAAAAACTGAATCTTGCACTGACGCAAATATCCTAAAGCGGCTGCAAGAGGCTTACACTTTTGTTGTATAACTGTTACCTGCGGCCTTTATACGACCTCTTAAATGACTGAAGTGTCCTATTAGGTGTGCCCATTCCGCTTGTATAGCTGTTCTAAGAGAGTTTTGCCAATGTTCTTACAGTATACAATGCTGTTTAAGGAATACTGTATAATCATTCTTGCAACTCTAATAGGAGTGATAATTGTCAGTTGGGCCATGTCTATGATGGAAATATGTCTAATAGGAGCGTAGATTTATCGGGGTTGGTAGCATATAAATATACTGAACATTGAACTTTCCATATTTAGAATTTTTCTGAAGAGATCAAGAGTCTCTGAAACGTCAAAAAACGAACTTATGCGATCTTTGTTTTTTGCTCCTAACTTCGCCGTGACTAAACCGATTTTCAAAAACTACAACGTTCTTCCACCCTTGGCACAGTACTATTTTGGTGGGAGAATTCCATCACAATTTGAGCGTTACTTTCCCAGTCATAGACTGGTCAAGGATTACCGGACAGACCGACAGCCAGACCGACGGAAATGAGTGACATGCTTCTTCGTGATGAAAAAATTGCTATTACATTTCTTTCTCGCAAGTGGCGTGGGAAGTAAAAAAGGGACACGTGGCATTGGTTTACTGGGATACGTGTGTGGTGACAACTGAAGCCCCTAATATCTCTCCGAGCGCGTGATGTAGATGTAGACACATATCTTGTGAACTATGCGTTTGTTTGCTGAGATCATACTGGCATTTAGATTACACCTTGCAGCTAAGCCTACTACCTAAATTATGGCTGGCTTAGCCTCAGTTATGAAGAAGCTCCAAAGTGGAACGAAGTAGGGTAATTCGTCGTAAGCCAACGATAATTTTAGCCATAGGCTATTCTTCCACTTAACCTTTTTAAAACAGTAAAATTTACAATTTACATATACAATGTGTCTGGTGGTGTAACACTTACAATAAAAGGCAAGTAATAGCAAGCACGCAGTTGAAACTTTTCAAAAGACAGTTGATTCATATGAGATGAAAATAATGACAATGCGCCATTGAATTATGCATTTCCATGGCTCATTATATACATTTAGTTTAAATTTATTAACTGACAACGAGCTATTTGGCAGAGAGTTATACAACTAAACGGCATTATATGTAAGAATATTTCGAAAGAAAGCAGTCCTGTGGTCTGGCATTGTTAAGGTGCTATTATATCTTACATTTATATATCTGTGTATGTACAATCGGTTTCTCTCTCAAAAATAGGGACACAGGTCTATCTAAAGGTTTGTGACTATATGTGAGCATGTTGAAAGCATTATAGTTATCTCATATTCAGCCATACTGATCTAGATATTATCGCGGTAAAAAGGAGGTAGAGCATACCTGGTCTTCTAAATCACTTACCTTATGTGGTATATTTGAATCTATCACCAGGGGAACCGGGAGCCTCAAATTAACTGGAGGAGCAATAGGATGATGGTCTGGTGGTGTATAGTGATTGTGCGTTGAGGCTAACACCATGTTGAAGCCGAAAATGTCACCTTCAATACCATCGTCTAGCCCTTTATCGAAATCGGTGTATTCTTGGCCAACGACTAAGTCACCGTGAGGGGGAATTATCATTCCTTGTAGCTGAAATAGTTTGACATAATTACATCTCTAGAGGATGCAAAATTGAGTGGGCACTTTAGCAAACTACAGATAATACTCTCTTAACTACTGTCTAGTACCACGTTTGACAACGCCATCTGCAGAAAATGACTCGAACTAAGCCACCATAAGCGACAATTTCTTTTCTAGGAAACGACAATATTCAACCACACTCGCGTCTTCTATAATCAGTACGAGGTATAATACACCACCTTTTCTTACCCTCATTGCTTCCAATAGATTCAGAATTTTGATCAGAAGTTATTTGCCGTTGATCTGAAATCTGCAAAATAGGGCAACTGCCACCATCATGACTTTGAGAATCCGAGAAGCGGCAAGCACCTCCTGCTCAAAATTCAAAAATATATTGTTACTGAGATATAGTTGTCGTCACCGTTCTTGGCGGGTCAAAGTAATCCCTTTTGTTCAGTAAGCTCAAAGACAAGTTTTTTAGTTGTTTGTCTCCACCCCAAAAACTTTGTCGTTCGTATGAGTGCCATTCAATCATATTTGTCAGAGTGACAACTTACTTGACATTGGTGTGCAATTCGAGTTGTCCTGTTATCAGTGTTCAATATAAAATTGTACAATGCCCGGAAGTACGATCAATGGAGAAGACAGCTCGTGCTAAATTTGTTAGAGCATATCCAGGAAGAGAATGAAAACGGCGGTCCCCTGTTACCCACCCACTTCATGCGTACTGGAGAGAGTAGCAGAAGATTCGTCTGCGTAGTGTTCCGCCCATGGTACGGAGACTCAATCTGTTTACTTATTTCATATGGTGCTGATAACGTAACCGCCAAAAACCGTGACTACAACTATAACACGTAAAAACTTCTAGTTCTCTATTACAATTTTTAAGTCGTTGTTATTAAACTACACATATTTGCAATCGATTCATTGTTAAATGTGCCAGCAATTATAATTCTTCAGTTTTATTTTTTAAATATTGCTATTTCAACTGTGGACTTCCAACGATCTCTTCCAGTAGCAGACGTGATCACTGTCACTATCAGCCGGAAACGTTGGTGACGGTCGATCTCCTGGTCCCTCCTGCCTCTTTTGCTGTTGAATTAGCTCGCATAGCAAACTTTTCTATTTTATTCTAACACATAGACTCGCAGCAATTCACCACAAAAAAGTATCTTGTAGGGATGTGAAACTATAATTTCTCCCTCGTTGAACACAATTCTTCCATGCACGAAGTAACATTACATGCTCCTAGTCTTTTATTAGTTTCTTACACAAGTCTTGTCTGATACTGTTTCACCACTTTTACACATGCTAGATAGATACAAAACATTGGCATTTCTGTTTTTAAAAAGCATTTGCCCTGGTATTTCTTGACACCTCTGACTCTCTTAAAATTTACTAATGCTTTTGACATTTCAAACGGTGATGCCGCTATGCATTTTTAATACAGTTAGTCGGAGGCATTTCCTTTAGATGACGCTCAGAGCAGGATACAAAGTTATGTATACTGGTCACATCCCCCTGGGTAGAATCACGGTAGAGCAACGAAAGAAAATAAATAAATATCACTGGACAACAAATTTTAGTTTTTTAATTGTATCTTGTGGGAAAAGTGCACTTCTTTGTTAATTTTGGGGCGCTGAATCCAAAAATGACAATGAAATAAAAAAATTAGTTGCGGTTTAGAAAAAAAACCTTTTATTTTTAAGGATATATTAAAAAAAGTAACAAGATTCATATACTTATAAGAATCACTATATGCGCTGTCTTTTTGCAGTTCTTTTATGGATCGTTTCTGGAGAATCTCTACCAAGAGTCCAACAGTAGTCTGCAAGCATGGAAGGATTCCACTTTCCCTGGTACCTTTTTTCCATTGTTGAAATATCCTGATGAAAACGTTCGCCGTGCTCATCACTTACGGCTCCGCAATTGTCAGGAAAAAAGTCCAGGTGTGAGTGTAGGAAATGTATCTTAAGAGACATATTACAGCCCATCTTTTGATCCGATGACAGCATATTTTTGACAAGGGTTTTATAGTTGTCAGCTTTTCTATTTCCCAAGAAATTAGTGACCACCAGACGGAAATCATTCCAAGCAGTTTTTTCAATACCTGTTAAAGTGTTTTCAAACTGTATCTTTCAAAATATTTCGAATCTGTGGCCCAACAAAAATACCTTCTTTAACCTTTGCCTCACTTAGCCTTGGAAATTTCTGACGCAGGTATTGAAAAGCTGACCCATCTCTATCTAATGCCTTGACAAAGTTTTTCATTAGGCCCAACTTGATATGCAGTGGTGGTAATAATTTTTTTTTTCGAATCTACTAATGGCATATGCTGTACATTTTTTTGACCTGGCTCTAGGAATTGATGAACAGGCCAGTTTTGTCTGGTGTAATGAAGTGCCTTTGCCCGACTGTCCCATTCACACAAAAAACAGCAAAACTTTGTGTAGCCTAGCTGCAGCCCAATAAAAGTGCAACAACTTTCAAATCGCCACAAATATGCCATTGGTGCTCATCGTATTTTATGCATGTCAATAGGTACTTCATATTGTCATATGATTCTTTCATGTGAACTGCATACCCTACAGGAAGAGATGGTAAAATATTTCCAGTATGTAATAACACTGCCTTTAAACTCAATGTTGAACTGTCTATAAACAATATCCATTCTTCTGGGTTATAGTTTATATTTAAAGCCGCCAGTAAGCCGTTAATGTTACTTCAGAAAACCAAGTTATTCTCCATATTGAAAAATGGTTCTAAGTCTTTGTGGCGTTTACGAAAAACACATACCGAAACATCGTCTTCTAACAAGTTCCACTGCTGCAGTCTTGATCCAAGTAACTCTGCCTTACATTTTGGAAGTTCTAAATCTCTTAGAAGATCATTTAATTCTGACTGTGTTATCTTGTGCGGTTGGTGGCATGACGTGCTGGGTATAAAATCAGGATCTCTTGACGTTGATGGCATATCTTCTTCCTGACGAATCACTCGATCGCCATGATCTGATTCGTTTTCTGGCACAGGTCTCATCGCAGATGGTATGTTTGGGTAGTTAATAACCGATTTTTTTTTCTTGGACATACCTTTGGCTTGTCCAACACAAGGTACCATGCAAAAGTAACAATCATTAATATGATTTGTTGGCTCTCTCCAAACCATTGGGACAGCAAAGCGCATAGACCGTTTTTTGCCATTTAACCAGCTCTTCAGACTTGTAGCACATGTATTACAGCAGATGTGGGGTGCCCACTGTTTGTCTTGATCACCTAGTTTACAGCCGAAATAAAGCTGATATGCCTTTGTTATTAGTGGAGTAATAGACCGTCTCTGAGACGCAAAAGTCACATCACGACACACGTAACAAAACTGATCTGGATTGTTTACACACTTTCGAGACATCTTGCATGAACGCTGTCAGCCAACTGAGGAAAAAATGGCTAATATAAAACAATATAATGTACACGTATGTATAACGTAACACAATCATGCCGATTACATCATCTTTCCTTGGCGAATATAAAAATGTAGCACGTGCATTCTTGTGAATTACAGTATATTAACACTGTCACAGCAGGAACACATATAATTACCGTATCTCTAAAACTTGAACTAATATTGAAAAAATAAGTTTTATTCCGGTTTTAGCACATTAAAAATAGTAATATTTGGTTGATTTTATTTAGGATATTTTTTGGATGTTGATCAGTGATACCTAAGTAAATAAATAAACCATTACACCATTACAGTAATTATAATTTTACAATATTAACATTAATATTATTACAGCTGTACCTTACACCAGCTACTCATCCTAATTACATAATATTCAATTTTCACATTATTCTGACCAATTTCATGATGAGACAATTTTCGGCAAACCTCAAAATATTTAAGCTTCTGAGATACTTTTCTTATATAATTTTTTTGTTATTTATTTTATTTGGTTCTATGATTATATTTTTTTAAGCAATTATCTTCTATCTAGAATGTAAGGTCTATCGAAATAAGACACAACATGCCATCTATTACGAACGTCGAGCCTTTCAGGTATCGTAGCTTTCTGAATGCCCTCATTATTACTCAAGGGGAGTGGAAGAGGGAAGTGGAGCAAAAAATTATTCATCAGGAGTACTCTACGTTTGAGGAAAAAGTACTCTTCATCACATTATACTAGATCTGCTCATGAATTTGGAAACAATGGTTCTACAGAATATTTAGAAGCTTTCAAAATACTCACACCTGCGTCTTGGCCACTGGCCAAATGCTTCCCGTTGACGTACAGATCCCAAAGACCAGTAAGACCAGCCCAAGATTGACAAATGTGGTGCCATATATGTTCAGTGAGGTCCAAAGGGACCTCAAAGACTGGCTTGTCCATTATTTTCAGCCTTAAGAATTTTCCATGTGGGGTCACCCATACGGTGATCAGACGATCATTTTCATCCTCTAAAAGAGTCAGGGCAGTTGATAGATTATGACATATGCACGTGATTCGATCAATATTATATTAATTGTCAAGCAAGAAGAACTGAAATTAAAAAATAAACGATGCTACCAGCGAGATTCAAGGGTATGGATGCATCCTGAAGTTGTTTTTAACTTATAATGTCAGTCGACCTCTTTCCTAAACATATTTAAGTGATCATGATGAGTTGGTCAGTAGAAGTAAGATAAGCAAAAGGTTGCAAGAACTTACTTGAATAAGACAGAAGTGGATGGTTACGAGTGAGATTGTTACTTTTCATCCAGATACAGAATGTGTAGTCTGTTATAGGTGGGACATCCACCATATACTTCAGAAACTGAAACAAAGTTTTATATCAGTTCCCAAGCTCAGGTAAGTTACTTTTCATCAAACTCTGTCTATGAAAAGCAGTTTGTATATCATACAAGATTTTTGCCACATACCTGTATATAGTTCCTCTGGGTTAGGGACACTTTGTCTATAGTCATTACTGGCTTCAAATATCTGTCAGCTAAGTGGTTCATATTTGTTTTTCCACCTTCTGCTTCACTACTATCTGAGTTCAACAGATATAGGAACAGTATTAGATAAATCCTTGCCGCCATATTATCTGAAACAAAAATAATACGATGCTTGAATGGTCTGAAGCAAGCTGCGCTTAGTTTAAAACAAAGCGAAAACGACGACTTCCTTGTTTTCATGAGTTTTTCTTCAGTCGTCCCAGTCGAGTGTTTCTACATGAAAAGTAGACAGTGCTTGATTAAAAAAGAAATCCAATATCTTCCTTAATCGTTATAAACGTTAAATATACATACCATTTTTTTCTCTGCTTGATCGATTTCTGTCGTTGAGATGACTACGTTTATGGGCGCCCCTCAAAAAGATTTTACATAATCACAAAAAGTGTAAATAAACCTAGAGATCCATGGCTTACAGATGTGGTTAAACGAATGCACATTCTCAGAGATGGAGCTGCTTACTTTTTGAACAGGACTGTCCATTTGCGTAATTATCCGGATTTGTGTAATATATTTAATGCTGCAGTTATCAGAAAAAAAAAATCTTATTTTACATACCAATTAGACAATTGTAGTTAGAAGGAAATGTGGAACAGGTTAAGAAACAATGGAGTAGTCCCTCAAAAGGGTAGCAGCATTCCAGATTCCGTAACTGATGCCAATGAACTTAATATTTTTTTGTTAACGAAATACCTAATTACATTTCTACAGAAGTACTAAAGCAAGCCAATGTTTCTGCTCCACCGAAAAAACCTGAAACCTCAGATCTTGAAGATCTTAGAGGCAATAGTGTTTTACCGTTTTTCTCTAAATTACTAGAGCATGCAATGGAGGATCAAGTTTCTCATCACTTGTCAGAATTTTCATTACTACCTATTTTCAGAAAAATCATAGATATAGATTTATTTGAGTGCTACTTCACTAATCGTAAGCAAACAGTTGTGCTAAATAGAGTTCAGCCTCTATCTTCAACTTTACAATCCGACGTACCCCAAGGGTCTATACACATCCATAACTTATCTTTATTCGTGTAAGGTCCATTTTTACGTTGACGACCCCCAAATCTATAATGAGCTAAACTCTTTCGTAGAATTTGCAACACGCCACAATAAATCCTTCAGTCTCACATAATAGTTTTTGGGAAAACAAACCATTAAAACGTAATAGAGAATTCTGTTATAATTGAGATAAATGGAGTAACTCTCGAGAAAATCGACAATGTAAAAAAATGTAGGTGTTATAATTGATAACGGAGGGCAACGTCGCGTTGGAAACTTCAAGACGTATTAAAAAATTCGCCTATAATTTTTCCGTTTACGGGTGTTATAGTGAATATTAATACATTTCGTGCATTACGACTATAGTTTTTATGTCAACTCATTATTCGAGACAAAACCAGTAGAAAAGTGTAAAACAGTGAACAGAGAAAGTCTGGTTTTCAGGGATTGGAAAATACTTGATATCTCCGAACCGTTGAGGTGGATTCAAGCATTATCGCGACCCTGAAATTTCCTAGCAAACCTTATAAGAGATTAAATAGAAGAAACAACGCATGTCGGCTGAAATACCACAAAAAACCTAAGATGAACAGTATTACACACTCGGATGCTTACACTACTGATGAAGGGAAAAGAAAAAGGGATGTTGCGGAAGAAATTTTTTAAAAAAGCAAACAATTGATTAGATCCCCAATCATAGAGTGGTGCAACCGAAGGAAGATATGACACAAATGATGGGGCTTCTGACAAATCTCACTACGGATGTTAAGGAAATCAAACAAAACCAGGAAGAATGTGGACAAGATGTGAATGCATTGTATGAGAAAATAACAAAATGATTACAAAAAAGAGGTAAACATTCTTAGAGAGGAAAACGAACAGGTAAAGAAAGAAGTGGAACAGTTAAGACAGGAAATCACCATATCTAAGGATAAAATAGAGAAAGTGGAAAGTGAAAAGTGAAAAACGAAGAAAAAACATTGTTCTACAAGGATATCCCTTGAATACGGGCAAATCAGCAAATTTGCGAGAAAAGATGGTGAGCTTTATTGGAGAAAAATTGAAAGTGGCAGTAACAGTCAATGGAGCCATAAAATTATCAGAAAAGGTGTGCTTAGTAGAACTTAATAGCATGCACGATAAAGTGAAAATAATGCAAAATAAGACTTAAATAATAGAAGAAAAGACCATATATCAGTGATGATTTAACTAAAACTGAACAAGACATACAAAAGAAAATACCAGACAAAGCAAACCAGGAAAGAAAGAAAGGTAAACACACTAAAATGGGCTATCAAAAACTAATAGTGGATAATGAAGTGTGGAAATGGAATGCAGAAACAAGCAATTAGAGAAAATGGAAAACAAATTCCCAAAATACTAAGCGAAAGCTGAAAAATAAAGACGACAACGGAAACGAATAAGGAATATATAAAAATAAAAAGTGAAGATTGCAGGATGGCATACATGACATTGGCAACCTGGAATATAAGAAGCATGAATGGTAAAGAACCTGAGCTAGTTAGTGAATTTGAAAAAGCAAAAATAGAAATTCTGGTAATAACAGAAACAAAGAAAAAGGGAAATGAAATTGAAAATCTAGGCAACGGGCATATCTTAATATACAGTGGAGTAGATACAAAGGACAGAGCTGCTGCAGGAGTGGGATGTATTATACACAGAAATAAGAGGAATTTCATACATAGGTGGGAGGCAATATCAGAAAGAATACTTGCAATTGAAGTAAGAGAATGTGTAAATCTAGAGACTATCATTGGGATTTACGGGCCTGATGAAAATGAGAAGAAAGAAGGAAAATATGCATTTTAGGAACTCCTATCAAGGGCAGTAGAGTCAACGAAAGGGAATTTATTCATAATGGGCGATTTTACTGGTCGTGTTGGTAAAAGAGATGATTTATTTAGTGATGTCAGTGGAAATTATGGTGAAATAATGAGAAACAATAATGGTATGAGACTTCTGGACTTATGTCAAATATTTAGCTTAGTTGTGACAAATAGTTTCCTTCAACATAAAGACATTCACAAATACACGACAGTAGAACCCAGTAGAGATGAAAGATCAATAATTGATTCCCTACTCCCTTTAGGGTAAATGGGAATTTGATTATACATATTATAATTGATAACAATCTTCGCTTTGAGTATCACATCCACAAAAATAATTAGGCGAGTATATTTGTCTTAAAAACAATTTACGGAATCATGCCCTGTGATACTTAAGTATTATCATTATTCAACTACGCCGATGTGCTTTTCAGTCCACATTTGAGTAATCTATATCGACGTAAAATTCGAATGGTTCATATTTGGAATATGACGTTCTCACAAATTGAAAGATACAGGTTGGTTAAATGTGGAAAATCGTAGGCTTCTTCATTCAGCTGTTTTTATCGTGAAATTTTAGTCAGAACACCCCAATATCATTGTCAAAATATAACTTCTCGGATTGATGTTCATAATATTAATTTATGAAATAAGGGTTCCTTTCACCATCCAAGCTCAAAAGTCTACAACCGGGTATGGGATCGAGTTATAAACTATTTCAAATCCATGTTTAGAAAGGAACAGCTGCAAAAACAGTAACACTGCAGGGATCGTTGTGATGCTTTTTTGTTGAATATAGAGTATATCCCACCACCGCTACGGAGTACCACAGGGATCTATGCTAGGAGCCTACACCTGGAACCTGTACGTTCCTGATCTTCTGATAGAAAACATTGCTGGACAGATGATGTCACAATACGGAAATAATGTGTCCATGTCAAATGAACCCAAACGGCTAAACCCGGCCATTATGAGAGCAAAATGGGTAAGGGGAAAATATTTGAGTACTATGATTGGTGGGGGCTTACTTGTAATAAGCAGAAAACAGAGTGAATTGTATTTGGACGAGCGCGAACGTACTCTAGAGTCTAGAAAGATCAAGTTTTGCGGGAATGGAGAGCGATTAGTCGTAACCCCGACCTCGATCAGGCGATATCTTGGGCTCTGTCTTACTAAAATAGTAAGCATGGTCGGCCTCATTCAAGAGATAATTCTTAAGGCTATTCGAGTAGCTCTAATCATTGGCTTCAGCTCTAATGTTTCTGCAGAAGAAAAATTGCATGCATGCATCTACCCGGTACCTACTAAAATAAGGACTGATGTGTACCACGCATAATAAGAAATTGAAATTCTTAAATTAGAGACGTGGAGGAAGATATATGAAAGAGTTGGGCAGTTTCCCTAGTGCATCCCAGATGATATTCTTAATGAGATGCTACAAAAGGACAGTGTGGCAACAGACCTGGATCAGACGCACAAGAAATTTCTTAAAAACGCACGAAGACCAAAGTAGATCATCCGATTAGTCCGCCAAGCCAGTGATGTTAAATGCAGCCTCCAAAATTCAAGCGTTTTGTGAACTATATCTCATAATGGTGATTAGACTTTGTAAAAAGATTTTAACCTGCGTCCCCTATCCTGCTCCTTGCATTTCACCACTTTCCAAAGAAGTACATAATTTAAATGTATACAGAAGCAATATATTTCTGGTTTTCATTCTTTATATATAATCCAAGAGTATCATATTATGTAACATAGCCTATATAAAATAAAGGGTTCAAATTGACTGAATTGATAATTCAGCGCGCTAACCACTCGATTAGCCAAGCACCTTAGAATATGGTCCTAGCTCTGCCACGGACTTTAGCCTAACATCAGATGTGTGGAAATTATTTTATGTTCCATTAAAATTCTGAAAAATAAAACCAAGTCCTCTAATTCAGTTGCTCTGGAATATGTCACTGGCTTTTGATATCTGACAAGTCTCTGTTATTCAAATCTTTCGCTGTGACATCTTTTTCATTATTTAGTTTTTATAATCTTGTTAATAATGGTGAATTATTCAAATGAAGAGATGGCGGAAATGACCTCTAAGTGTGATAACACATGAAATTGAGGAAGCAGTGCTGCACGAAGTCGAAGAACATCCTGAAACAAGTACGAGGAAGATCGCTAGATACTTAAATATTTGAACGGGGAATTCAAAAATAATTTTTATTTGACAAAAAACTATTGACGTATCATTTT